CTCTCTCTATCCCTCTCTCTCTCTCTCTCTCTCTCCAGGCCGCACCGCAGGTGTTTGAGCTGTAATAATAATAATGTGTTTGTGACCCGCAGACTCACACCAGACCAGAAGTACATGGTGGTGGCTCAGTTAAACACCAATCAGGTGACGCTGCTGGAGGCTCCGCCCATCGGCATCATCGGTCAGTGTCAGGTGACCAGCAGCATCCAGCTGGCCGAGGACGTCAAGCCGCACCTGGTGGATGTGGATCTGAAGAGCGCGGCGCTGTATGTGGCGGAAATCGGGGCCAATCAGGCGCAGAAGTTCATTCCTGTGACAGCCACCGGTGTTTAGATGTTCACAGAGAGACCAGCGCTGATTATAACGCTTTAAAAGATCTGAGCTGGAAAATATGAGCAGCACTGATAATAAATGTGTGACCCTGGACCACAAAACCAGTCAAAAATTTTTTGAATAAATAATCTTTCCATTGATGTATGGTTTGTTAGGATAGGACAATATTTGAAACTCTGGAATCTGAGGGTGCAAAAAAATCTAAATATTGAGAAAATCATCTTTAAAGTTGTTCAAATGAAGTTCTTAGCAATGCATATTACTAATCAAAAATTAAGTTTTGATATATTTACGGTAGGAAATTTACTAAATATCTTCATGGAACATGATCTTTACTTAATATCCTAATGATTTTTGGCATAAAAGAAAAATCTATAATTTTGACCCATACAATGTATTGTTGGCTATTGCTACAAATATACCCCAGCGACTTAACACTGCTTTTGTGCTGCAGGGACACTTATTTAGTTTACAATCAAGGTTTAATTTAAATCAGAAATATAATGTTGATTTCAGATGATTATCAGAGAGGAATAAAGGGATCAGAGATTGGTGTTTTAACTTCACTGCTGTTTGTGATTGTGGGTATGGTGTATATATGTTTAATCTTGTGTGTTTTTTTTGTTGAGAAAATAATGTTCATGTGAATTTATATTAGTTAAGCTTTGTATATCAATGCATTATTCCTGTTTTTGTCATCTTGACTTGTAAACATACGAGCTGAATGTCACATTGGCCAGTTTTTGACTGTGAGAAGTGCATGTTGAGTTTGTGTGCTGATGTCCTGCAGTGTGTTAAACTCAGTTCACTGAGATGGGCTTTCATTTGTGTTGATAAGGAATAATATTTGAATCTGTCTTGATGTGTGTTTAATGTAATAAAACATTTGTTTACAGCTTTTTGTGGTCGCGTTTTAATCAGAGTTTCTGCAGGATTTATGAAGGCACATTTAAGCCTCTTTAAGATCAAGAAAAGAACATTTTAATTTCACAATACATCAATACGGTGACTTTCACTAACAATGCTTCAGAGTTTGAAAATACAACTTACAACAGATCTCCATTACGGTTTAACTTATTTTACAATATAAAAGCTTAAGGATTAAATATCTCTAATTCAAACATGGAAATAACACCTTCTGATGATAATTATAATAATTTTTGCAGTTCATACGACATTTAATGTTATGACTTTCTACTCTGATTTAAGGTTTTAATTCGTGGGAGAAACAATGTTTAATGTGTTTTATTAGCACAACAAAAATCGCATTCATATTGCCAAAGGCCTCCATACACAATGGGGGAAATACCACACAAAAATAAAGGTAAACAAACTATATCACACATATTTACCACTAAATTTGATGAAGTGCATAATAAACACAAAACAATAACAAAAGAATGTCAACAATGACGACGGGCTTCTTCCGAGAGCTGCCCCACTCAGTGCCTGATCAGATTCAGACGCGTTCAAATGTTTATTTTCTGCTGACTAACATTACTTTAATTCGCGTTAAACGTATTAGCAACTATTAACCCGTATAATCCCTTTGGAGTTGTTTAGTTTTGGTGTTTTCTTGTGTTGTTTCGGGCTTTTCCCGCGGGCAGCTGTGAGCGCGGCCCGAGTGTTTCGGCGTCGGATAAACATGGCGGATCTGAAGGACTGCGCAGAACTGAAGGTAAGTGCAGAATTAAACACACAGCTGACTTTAGAAATGACACAGCGATGTCTGTACTGGTGATTAGCTGTGATTTCACACACACACGGTTCGGCGCGGAATACAGCGGCTCGGGTGTGTGATGCGTGAAACTCCGGACAGGCTAAAGGCTAAAGCTAACCTTCTGCACACAACACACTGACAATAACAACTCACGACAGAAAAGCAGCACTTCACAAGCGTTAGTGGTTATTAAACACCCGTGTTTCTGATAGACATGTCTGATAGTCTGCTGAAATACTCCGATCAAACGGAGCGCTTATCGCGATTATATTGATTCCACTCCATCATATGTGAAAGTCCGATCAAAATAAACGCTGATTTCAGATCAGTTTACCGAATAAGCCAGGTTTATTTCAGTTAGTCTGACTCATTGTCAGTTGATTTAATTCAAAATAAGTCAGACTAACTGAAATAAGCCTGACTTATTTGGTAAACTTGTTTTATGAAACAGCCCCCAGATCATAGTTAGCACTCGTTCATATTAAAACAGAATATACACACAGATCTCAGCTGATCACATCAGTAATTAGCTCTTTAAGCTGGTAGATGCCAATCAAAACACCTGGAACGAGCTCATGTTTTATGCAGGAGTGGGCGGGGCGAGCGGCGGAGCGAGCTTTGATGTGCAAATGTTGGCGGGCTAATGTAATATACTCGCGTGACGTCAAATATTGTGCATCTTTTTGCAAAGTAGTTTTCAAATGTGTGCTCATGTTCTGTACCATTAAAAATCCTTCATGTTTATCTTAAATGTGTGCGATGATGCTTTTCTCTGAAGGATTTCTTGAAGATCATTGGCTCTTAGAGATCCAGAGAGAGTTAGCAGCGTCTGTCAGAGGTGAGTGTGTTTAAAAGAATAGTTCAGAAAAAATTAAAATCTGCTGAAAACATGCTCACCCTCAGATCATCCGAGATTAGGATGAGTTTGTTACGTCATTCATCAGATTTGTAGAAATGTAGCACTGCATCAGTGTCTCAGCAATGGATGCTCTGCAGTGAATGGGTGCCGTCAGAATGAGAGTCCAAACAGCTGATAAAAACATCACAATAATCCACAAGTAATCCACAGCACTCCAGTCCATCAATTAACATCTGGAGAAGACAAAAGCTGAAACACATCCAGCATTAAGACGTTTTTAACAAAAATACCATAGAGTCAATAATCCATAATAACGCTTCCTCCAGTAAAAAAGTGTTTTGGTGTGAATCAGGAGAGAAATCTGCACAGATCAAGCAGCGTTTTACAAGCCAAAACAGCTCTAAACAAATATGTGAGAGACAACAGGAGATCACTGGAGGAAGAGTTATTGTGGATTATGGACTCTATGGTATTTTAGTTAAAAACGTCTTAATGCTGGATTAGTTTCAGCTTTTGTCTTCTCCAGATGTTAACTGATGGACTGGAGTGCTGTGGATTACTTGTGGATTATTGTGATGTTTTTATCAGCTGTTTGGACTCTCATTCTGACGGCACCCATTCACTTGCAGTGAGACACTGATGCAATGCTGCATTTAATCTGATGAAGAAACAAACTCATCCTGATCTGAGGGTGAGCATGTTTTCATTTTTGGGTGAACTATTCCTGTAATGTGCTGTATTATATACGGGGTGATCTGCGGTGTGTGTGTGTGTGTGTGTGTAGTTGATGATTCAGCAGGAGAAGCCGTTGGCGGGCAGCATGCCGGTGGTTTGGCCCACGCTGCTCGACCTCAGCAGAGATGAATGCAAACGAATCCTGCGCAAACTGGGTGAGACTCACTGAAGCATCACTGTGCTGTTGTGTGTGCTGATCGCAAGCTCACGTGTGTTTGCGTGGAATGCTGCATTTAATCTGATGAAGAAACAAACTCATCCTGATCTGAGGGTGAGCATGTTTTCATTTTTGGGTGAACTATTCCTGTAATGTGCTGTATTATATACGGGGTGATCTGCGGTGTGTGTGTGTGTGTGTGTGTAGTTGATGATTCAGCAGGAGAAGCCGTTGGCGGGCAGCATGCCGGTGGTTTGGCCCACGCTGCTCGACCTCAGCAGAGATGAGTGCAAGCGAATCCTGCGCAAACTGGGTGAGACTCGCTGAAGCGTGTAAGCAGCTGTGCTGATGTGTGTGCCGATGGTGAGCTCACGCGTGTCGTGTGTTTGTGTGTTCAGAGCTGGAAGCGTACGCCGGCGTGATCAGCGCTCTGCGCGCTCAAGGAGATCTCACCAAAGACAAGAAGGAGCTGCTGGGAGAACTCACTCGAGTGCTGAGGTGACGCACACCTTTCACTTTTCACAATACTCTTATCTTAATCTTAACAACAGTCTCTGATATCTCAATGTTTTCTAGTCACATCGAGCAGTTTAGTATGGAAGCCTGCTAAAAACAAAGAGTAAAAAAAGTTCTTTTTTTTCTTGCAGTTCTGACTAATTGTTTCTGAACTGTGTGATATAAACTTGCAATTGAGTTGTAAAGTCAGAAAAGATAGATTCTCATGAAGTCAGAAGTAACTGTGTGATAGAAACTCGCAGTTCTGAGAAATACATTTAGAATTGCAAGATATAGACTAGCAATTGTGAGGGAAAAAAGTTGCAATTACCTTTTTGTATTTTTGGTTCAATGGCAGAAATGGGCTTCCGTAGTTTAAAGCTGAACACTAGCATAGTTTACATTTGCAGACAATATAAACATCAGTCAGATCTGCTATTAATATATATGGCTTTATGTGAGTGTACACTACCAGTCAAGAGTTTTTGGACAGTAAGATTTTTAATGTCTCTTCTGCTCACCAAGCCTGCATTTATTTGATCAGAAATACAGCAATAACAGTAAAATTCTGAAATATTTTTACTATTTCTAACAGCTGTTTTCTATGTGAATATCTGTTAAACTGTAATTTATTTCTGTGATTAAAAATAACTCCGATATTTACTTCTAAATTAAAAAGTAATGCGTTACTTTACTAGTTACTTGTAATCTGATTACGTAACTTGTGTTACTTGTAATGCGTTACCCCCAACACTAGGGCTGGGAAAATAAATCAATGCATCACGAATCGAGAAATGATTCTGCATTCTTTTGGCGATTCTTTCTCGAGTCGATTCCGAGCTTAGTTTTGAACACTGCATGGTTTAGAAACAGCCAAATCCTTACACTTGAACCTAAAATAATCATTCATAAGATTTGGAAAAGTTGAAGCGAATCACAAGGGTGTTCACAGTGGGCTGAGTTTACATTAATCTCATCATAAAAGCATTCTGAGCAGAGGTGAAATTACAGACTCTTCAGCTCTTCTTCATGAGCGTTTGAGTGTGTGGATAAAAACTAGAGTAGAGCGCCACCTGCTGTTAAAATCTACGCTCAGAACCGATTCCAGAGAGAATCATGCATTCAGAAGATCTCAGAATCGGTCCACAAATCGATTCTGCATCAATTTATCGTCGCAGCCCTAGTAGTTATTCATGGGCTTTTATTTTGTTTTCATTTTAGTTTAAGTTTTGGTCATTTTTGTTATGTGCTTTGTCAGTTTTATTATTTTTTAAACATTTCTGTTTAGATTTAATTTATATTAATTTCCAGTTTAGTTCTGGCAATTTTAGTATTTCAACTGCAACTTATTAATTTCATTTTATTTTAAGTTTTTCATCTTTTTATGTTTTTCATCTGTTTATATTTTATTTGCTTACACTTTATATTAGGCATTCTTAACTACTACTATTTTGTACTGTAGATGTATTATGTGTATACATTTTCAAAAGTTTTAGTTTTAGTTGACAGTAACAACATATTATAATATTACTATTAATAATAATAATAATTGGTATATGTTGTCTATTCTATGTTTTGTGGTTAATATAAGTTAAAAGCTGTATTTTTTTTATTTAGTTAATGATAACAACAACATTATTGTGGTTGTTTATTTTATTAGTTTATTATCATTTCTTTATTTATTTTTTTGTTTATGTTGTGTCTGAGTAATCTATGTTTTGTGGTTGATATAAGTATAAAAGAGTAGTAAATTTCTATTTTTAGTGAACAATAACAACATTATTTTTATTATAATTATTTATTTTTATTATTTTTTCACATTTTTTGTATATGTTGTGTCTAGGGCTGTCAAAAAAAAAAATCGAATTTCGAATATTCGTTGAATTTCAAATAAAAAAATTCGCATTCGAATGCAAAAACGTTGCATTTGAATGTTAGGTGTGCGTCAGACAGCTTTATCAGCGGCGCACGAGATGCGATGACGATGTAAGTGTCGTTGCATTTTAATGTTTTTCATAGCTTATCCAGTTGAAGCCACTAGATGCGGCGCTGCTGCGTTGTTCATCCAAAATATTGTGGAAAAAGAAAACATCAATGCGGAGAAGATGTTGTTTACGTCAAAACTGAAACCAAGCCGTTCACACAGAACGCATATTTATCACGTTTTCTAGAGGGACGTCTATCAGCGTTGCACTCGCGTCTCGCACAAGAGAGCCGCATGTTTAGAAAGTCATGTAAAATGAATGCAAGTTTTAAAAAACATGTCTCGAGACTTTATGGCGGTTTTCCCCATCCCACTGCATCTCATGTTTTTAAATAGAAAAATACTCTTTGTGATTGGTTTTCGGTTCTTTGTATTAAACTATACATACATACACAATGCTGTTTTGTTTAGAGTTGTTTAAGCAACTTAATTAATTATAATTGGTTCATAAACATTATTTTAAACATTATGCACTTTTTTTCCACATATTGTCATGCTATTTTATTGCTTTGAATAAATGTGCATTAGTCATATTTTGCTCGATGCGCCCTCTTGTGGCCTCAGGAGAGAAGCCAAAAGCTTTTTCCCCCCTAACTGAAATTATGCCTTTTAAATTCGAATATAATTCGAATATTGATAATATTTAAGTACAAAATTCAAATTGAGTTTCAGCTATTTTGACAGCCCTAGTTGTGTCTGTGTAATCTATGTTTTGTGGTTAATATAATACACACTCTCAGAGACAGGAAGTGTGTTCCTCACTGTGTGTGTGTGTGTTGCAGTGGTGGTGTGTTATTCGTACACCAGCACCACCTCCACTCCACCCAGCGCATCGGCTCCCAGCAGCTCCAGCGCAGCAGCGGCCATCAAATCCCCTCGACCCGCACGGAAACGTGAAAAAAGTCCATTAATTTGAATGAATTATTAAACATTTGAATATATAATATATGTATTTAAAACGTAATATATTTAATACACCAATTTTTTTATATTAAAATGATGAAAAGTGGTATGAATGAATGATTCAATGACTCACTCATAAATACTTACATTTACATTTAGTCATTTAGCAGACGCTTTTATCCAAAGCGACTTACAAATGAAGACAATTTATTTAAAATTGACAATTTTTAATACTTCACTTGTTTCATTACTGGATGAATCAGTGTTTTTGAACGAATCTCTTGAATGAATGATTCAATGACAAACACATTTTTAACAGTCATTTGTCGCCACCTAGTGGAGAAACGATGCAAGCGACACAAACGTTATTTGAAGCGCAAGTTACTTTCAGAAGATGACTTGCTCTATTTTGATCGCTTCCATAGACATCAATGTTTATATCTGAACTATAAACTTTCACCCCAGTATTTCTTTTCACAATGTAGATTGTGTTACAGTTTTAAACAGGCCAGACGAGAACGGCACATTATGTTTAATACTGTGTTAAAGCTGTGTGACGTCTCGTTGTGTCTGTCAGGCGTGAGCTGCTCCGATGAGGACGAGAAACCTCGTAAGAGGCGGAGAACCAACTCGTCTAGCTCCTCCCCCATGCTGCTGAAGGAGGTGCCTAAAGTGGCCACGCCCATTTCCAAAACCATCACGCTTCCGGTGAGCGGCAGCCCCAAGATGAGCAACCTTTCATTACTGGATGAATCAGTGTTTTTGAACGAATCTCTTGAATGAATGATTCAATGACAAACACATTTTTAACAGTCATTTGTCGCCACCTAGTGGAGAAACGATGCAATCGACACAAACGTTATTTGAAGCGCAAGTTACTTTCAGAAGATGACTTGCTCTATTTTGATCGCTTCCATAGACATCAATGTTTATATCTGAACTATAAACTTTCACCCCAGTATTTCTTTTCACAATGTAGATTGTGTTACAGTTTTAAACAGGCCAGACGAGAACGGCACATTATGTTTAATACTGTGTTAAAGCTGTGTGACGTCTCGTTGTGTCTGTCAGGCGTGAGCTGCTCCGATGAGGACGAGAAACCTCGTAAGAGGCGGAGAACCAACTCGTCTAGCTCCTCCCCCATGCTGCTGAAGGAGGTGCCTAAAGTGGCCACGCCCATTTCCAAAACCATCACGCTTCCGGTGAGCGGCAGCCCCAAGATGAGCAACCTGATGCAGAGCATCGCCAACTCTCTGCCGCCACACATGTCGCCGGTGAAGATCACCTTCACCAAACCCTCCACCCAGACCACCAACAGCACCACGCAGAAGGTCAGGCGCACTTCCTTCCTGTCATGTCACATTCCCACAATCCTGCATTTCCTTCCTGTCATGTTCATTAAGATGCTTATTCCTCCAATAATGCCACGGCTGCTGTGTGTAATAATGATACATACTAGGGATGGGCGATATCTTATCGTTTGTGATATACCGGGAAAAATTCTCCCCACGATAAGAATTAGTCTTACTGCGATAATAACGATAAAGCCTAGTTCTGTGTGCGACATCGCGAAAGGCAGACGTGAAATTGAGGAGGAGTTCATCGCTCCTTCTACAATCTGGAACTGGTTTGGTTAGGGCTGTACAGTGCACAAAAAATCGCTCTGAATAAATGTCCTACAGTAGCACAGATTTGCCTGTTTACACACCTGTTATCCAACAAAGAAGTCATTTATTGACATGCTTTTTCTCCAAATTAACTTAATACCATAGTCGAGTGTTTGAAATAACTTCTTTTTGTGACCAGACGTGGTTTCATATTACAGAGTGATAGTATTATATACAGTGATAAAGGCTTTGTCGATTAGCATTGCATTATAAATGTACTTTCCTTATAAAAAATACCCAAGATTGCTTGAAGAACACAGATAAACCATATATTTCGTGCAATCGTATGTTTATTGTCTTCAAGTTTCATCAGTTAAAATTTCTCTGTCTGTTGTGCGTTTTATTCAGCGATAACTGGATGCCTTTGTCCATATTAGGGATTTCCTGGAGCGTCTTCAGTGCTATTACTTCTGCGATGCATATGTGTGGAGTTTCTGCGTGAGGGCGCCCTCTGGCTTCCAGTATGAAATAAACAGTCATTACGTTACGTGTGTACTCAGTAATGACCATAACGCCTTATTTTAGGTAAAAATAGGAAAGATAATACTTTTCTCTAAAGAAACCGGATTCCCTGAATTATCGTCATTGATATTGTTATCGCAATAAATACTAGAAATTATCGTGATATATTTTAAAGCCCATATCGCCCATCCCTAATACATACATACACACACATACACATATTTATATATATATAGTCAGGTGGATACACTGCATTTGACCACTGGATTTACAAAACTCACTTCAGGTTTAAGAAGTGTTTCAATATTGCATCAACGTCTGATGAACACATTCATTTTTATTTGAATTATCGCTCAGTCGGTTATTTTACCATGCATTACTTTGGAAGGCGTTTGTCTTTTAAACACATTAAAATGCACAAATTCACCATCTTTTTTGTCATCTGATCCTCTTTCACCTAATATATTTTTATTTGAAGTACCCAAGAGATTTTAAAATAAATATTCTAATAATTAAATATCACATTTGCATGTTCATAGTTCTCTGACGTTGGTTATGGTCGCATTACATGCAGGTAAACAAATAAAATATTAAATTTTTTCAGTAAAGTGTTTTATTTTGATTCATTTTAAAATGGTTTTAATTTAACATTTTCATGATTTAATTAATTATTAGCTTTTGAAGTAGTAGCAAGGAAACCTTGAAGTAATATATATTTAATGCACTTCATGATAACAACAAACAGAATATATTTTCTTGCTCTTTGTATTTTTATATCAATATGGTACAAGATTAACCTATTTAAATCCATGTGGAAAACAAGATAGCTCAAAAGTAATCTAAAAGTAGTCTGATTATTACCTAAAATGTGTAATGTAATGGATTATGTAACTAACAACAATTTCTGTCATGTATTTGGGAATCAGTAACAGAATTCAATTTTCAAGTAATCTACCCAGCTCTGAATTTATAGTAAACAAGCTTACCAGCAAAAGTAGACCAGGAGTTGACAACTTTAAAAGTTATATATTAATAAAGGCCTTTGTTCACCCCCCGGAGCCGTGTGAGACACTTTTTTTCTTATGGATGGGCGCTTTTTATTTCACTTCTTTTGGACTGATGCACTGCAACACCCTGAGTGCAACGATAGAGCTTGAAAGATCAAAGACAATCTTTAATATAACTCCGACTGGATTCGTTTGAAAGAAGAAAGTCATATACACCTAGGATGACTTGAGAGTGAGTAATTTATGGACTAATTAGCATTTTTGGGTGAACTAACCCTTTAATGTGTGTGTGTGTGGTTCAGGCGGGTCCTCCGCGGCGGTGAAGGTGGCCTCCACTCGTCTGCCGTCTCCCAAGGCTCTGGTCAGCTCTCCGTCTCAGATCCTGCAGATTCCCAGAGCGCAGCAGCAGACGGCGGTTCAGTCTGCGTCTCCTAAAGGCCTGCAGGCCTCGTCTCCTCAGAGCGCCAGCGCCGGAGCCAAACCCACCATTCAGATCAAACAGGAGTCTGGTGAGCATGAGACAGCAGATAAAGCACAGGGCTGCACCACTAAAGGCCTTTTCACACTGAACGTGAACATTCAGATTTGAGCTAAGATCACGTAACCGGAGCAGCTGCTGTTGCACCAAAAGGGGAGAGTGGTGGCGCTGTTTCCAAAAGCAGTGTAAACAAACACAGAAGAAGAGTATTCTGAGAGAGAAGAGGATGCTGAGTTCTTGTTATCTTTGGTATCTGAGAACAGATTTATTCTCGCATGTCCTTTATACATAATATAATTTCTATTAATTCTCCCCTGGATCTGATCCGGAGAGCACTGTCCGTTTTCTTCCTCGTGCGCGAGTGTTATGAGTAAAGGTCAATGCACACCGAGTCCGAAATTTTCGTATGCGTTTTTCGTTTTTTTCGTATTCGTCATCCTTTCCTATCAAAATGCTTGCTACGGATGTGAAAACGCAGAAAACCGAACCTGGTCTGAATTTTTTTATGACGGACGAAAGTTTCGGAGGCAGTGTGTAAATATGATTGACACAACGTGAGGTCCTATTTATTTTTTAACGTGCGAAAATTTCGGACTCAGTGTGCAAAGACCTTAAGAGCGTGTTCACTCTAGATCTGTCAATCATGGGATCATATCTCCTGCCATTACATATGAAAAAATGAGAGAAACTATTTTCTATACATGAAATATGAACGCAAATAGACATGATTATGGCGATATATTTTCTGTATGTGTTTTATGCAGCTCATGATATTTTTATAACAGTAAAGGATGTTTATGACAAATGAGAAGCAGGTGTCGTGCTCAATCCATTATTAAACATACAAAAAGTGCGTGTCTGCGTATTATCGAATAAAAATCCACTGCGTGTGTGTGCGTGTGTGTGTGCGTGCGTCTGTGTGTGTGCGTGTGCGTGTGCGTGCGTGCGTCCGTGTGTGTGTGCAGGAGTGAAGATCATCACGCAGCAGATGCAGCCCAGTAAGATCTTACCCAAACCCTCCAGCGCAGCGCTGTCCGGCAGTAGCTCCGCCCCCATCATGGTGGTCAGCAGCAACGGCGCCATCATGACCACTAAACTAGTGTCCACTCCCACAGGTACACACACACCTCTCATTCATGTGTGTTAATACACGTGCGTTTGTGTTGTCTTCATCTTGTTTTGTTACAAATAATATCTAGGTTTCAAGAATTTGGACAATGGAGTTAATACTAATAAATTCTGAGATTATATGTTCTGACAAAGTTTATATACTCAAGTAAAATTCATTATCAGTATTGTATATATTCAGTGTGTGTGTGTGTGTGTGTGTATATATATATATATATATATATATATATATATGTATACATGGGCGACATTTGACTCTTGATTCAGGGGGGGCAAGAAAAAAAAAAAATATGTATACAGGGTGCGATTGGCGGGGGGGGCGTCATGTCACAAAAACATTTCGTGACATGACGACACACATTATCTGGTACTTGCTTAAAAAGAAATATGAAATAATGACATAAATGATGAAATAAATAAAAGCAAAAGATTTTTTTTTCTGATGTAAGCATCAAAACAATGCCCTACTGTATTGCAAAGCATCAAAGCAGTCAATCCAACACAGTCGAGAATAACTTAAAGAGGTTGCCACCGTTTAGTAAACTGTGGACTAGCTTTGGCTCTTCCAGCTGACTTGAATGGTGATGCTTCCCGTTTGTCATGGCCTTTCATTTTTAACCAGAAATGTGCACGCTGCTTTTCTGATGTTTACTGCAGTTTTCCGTGTCTTTTTCCCATGTCACTTGAAATGTTTCTGTTTTGAATCATTGTTACCAAAGACGAGACACGTGAGGAAAAAATAAACGATCAGTTGTGGGACTATATTCTGTCATAAATCACACACCATTCATTGCTGAACTTTCTACCGTCCGTTGCTGGAAATAAAATTAAATTACTGGTTGATATGTCCCGATCTCAATAAAGTTTACACACGCTTTTGGTCCGTGAATTAGATCTCGCTCGGGACGAGATATGTCTGTGATTGGTTACATTGCTCAACGCTGCAAAAACACGTTGAGGTTTTTTCATTTGCAAAAACTTTTTTTTTTCAATGCGCATTCCATGTAATATCAATCAAACTGCAGGAAAGGAACCTATTTATTGCCATTAAAGTGAAATTACTGAACCTACACACAGGAGCCTGATAAAAATGCTCATTTTAGAACAACATTTTTAATGGCACTTAGAGGATTTTGCATCTGAACTCTTGATTTTTATATATATATATATATATATCTTGTACAACGGTACAGAATATAAATGGATAAATGGGGCCGTAAAAATGGTCTTGCCCTCGGAATAGGACTAGTAAGGGTTAAAATGTCAAAATGCATTGTCCTTCCCTTTGTGAAAAGCCTTTACAGGGCAGTTTTTTATTGCTGAATCTTTTCTTTAACTCAAAGATGTGCATAGACAAAAACTACCATTAAGCTCTCAGGAGGTCAAAGCACCAATTAGATGCACTTTGTGACTTTGGCATGCATGCCATCAGTTGCTATTGTACTCCAAACATTTTGTCTGAAAACAAAGATGGGATGGCAGCAAGTGGACAGCGTGACATTCAAATACCTTCTTCATAGCCATCAGAATGCTCTTTGTGATGTCAGGAAGGTCAGTCCGTTGCAAATTGTTGTTAGGTGTGGTCTGATGGCCTGATCACTGAGTCACACATTAGACAAAACATAAGTGTCTTATTTTTTTTTTTTTTAAGAAAGAAAGCATTTGACTT